TCATCAAAATGTGATGATATTGTTAATCAGAAACATTTACATGATGCATTTAAAAAATTGGCCAAAAAGTTTGCTGAACTACAATCAAAAACAACAGAAAGACAATCAGACTTATCAGCATTGCAGTCACGTGCTAATTGGGAGGATCAGTTTGCTCCTGGAATGCAATCATTAAATGATTTAATTAATGAGGTTGACAAATTCATTTCCGAAAAGGCCAGATGGAAACCTGATTATACTACCCATAGTGGTGGCAGTGGTGGTAATAATGATGACAATGATAATAATAATAATGGAGTTGATTATGAAGATATAATTATTTCAAATGAAATAGAAGCCACCAATGACCCAAAACAAGGATTAAGAAGTTTTACTGTAAAGAATATTAATGAAACAGGTGATGATTTTAATGATAGTACAACTGCTTCAATTGTTTCTGATACTATTTCAATTTTGACTACAATTCCAACAAATGATGATAAAACAATTTCAACTGAGAAAGATACAGTATCAGATGAAAAGGACATAAATTCAATTTCAGAAGAATCAAAAATAAATCTGAAACAAGAGTTTAAAATCTTGGCAGAAAAAGCAAAAGAATTTCATCAAAATGTATTGGAACCATTGAAATCATCAAATAAAGACATGGTTTCAGCAATCAAAAATTTGTTATCAAAGAATTGCCCAAAACATTTATTGGATCGTCAATTGTATTTTGAAAAAAAATTTGATTATTTGATGGATAGAGTGGAGCTAGGTAAGAATGTTTTGGAACAACATGATGCAATCAATGACTTCTTGAATCAAGCCAATGATATTATTGATTGGGTAAATCCACATTTAGAAGTTCTTGGTGAAATATTGAATGATTGCACTTTGGGTGAATTTAGTGAAGATAAATTACATGATTTATTGATGGAAGTTAACAAGATTGAATCAGAACAACAAGCATATACTGGTGTCTATGAAAGAACTTGGCAAATAATTTGATTAATGAAATTATGAAAGAGGATAATAATAATGATAATGATAATAATAATAATAATAATAATAATAATAATAATAATAATGGAGATATTGATATTGGACTTGAAGTAATACAATTTAAAAAAGCAAAAGTTGATGATTTATGGCAAGAATTACAAGATTCTATACCAAAAACCAAACAACAATTGGACCAAGCATTACAAGTAGCAGATTTCAAAGAGAAAATCAGAGAAACACTTTTCAAGATTGAAAATTTATCCAATATAATATCATCTTCATTGGTGGATGAGGTGACCAAGGATAACATCAAAGATTGGCAGATTGAATTGAATGGCTTAGAACAGACTGAATTGTTCTCATTGTACTCTGAGTGACAACACAGTTAAGTCATTTAATCTTTGTTTCAACAATCCCAATAAATTATCAAGTTGTTTAAGTGTTTGTAGAGTGATGGCAATTGTCATTGTGTCAGCAGGTGACATTGCTTCATTAAACTGAGTGTTACTATTGCTATTACTTCCATCACCACTGTTAGAGGTGTTAGCACCCATGATAGATTTGACATGGGCTCTTAATCTAGTCATATCTTCAGCATCAAATTTCTCAATTTCCAATTCCAATTTATCACAATCATCCTGCCATTCATCAACTTGTTCTCGTGTAGCAGGTACTTTATCTTCTTGAAAAGCATCAAATTTAGGAGAATTTTCCAATATTACAATACGCTCATCTATCCACACACGCATACGTTCAGCTTCCTTAAACCAAATTTTTACTTCTTCAATCCAAGCTTGCACCAAATTATATTGATTTTGTTGTTCAACAATTGTTTCAGAATATCTTTTATCTTCAACATCAGGAGATAACAAATGTTGATAAGCAGATTCAAGATTCTTTAACATTTCCAAGGTTTCAGTCATATGAGAATTTAATTCCTGTATTGAGGCATCAGTCTTTGTATCTTGACGTCTCATCTTACCCTTTACAATGTCAAGTTGGTCTCTGATTGCATTAACACCCTTTGCAAATTCTCTGCCTTCTTTGATTATTTGTAAATCTTTTTGACGCAAGATGATCAAATTTTTAATATCTGCATATTTTTTTTCCATCTTATTGATTTGTTCGACCACCTCTTCACCATGTAATCGTTTAGCAGATTCAGATTTCAACCAGAACTGCACCCATAAACTTCTCTCAAATGTGATCAACTCAGATTCTATCTTATCATAGCGTTCATTCAACTCTTCAATATGATCATCATTACATGTCAAACCATGAATTTGTTCAGATTCTGCCTGTTCTAAATCTTTTTCTTCTTCATTATTATTATTGTTATTACTATTAACATCACCATCGCCATCACCATCAGTTTCATCACCATCAATGCCACTTTTACTTTTACTGTCTAAAGTGTATGTTGGGGGAGAACACAATCTTGTATAGAAATTTTCTAAATTATGTTCAATGATGTTAATTAATTGATCAAATTCAGAACTGGCCGAAATAGGAGAGGAGGGTGATGAGGGCGACAAGTAGGCAACCATTTGTAATTTGTTTTCAGCCAAAGCAATTTTAATATTTTGTATAGTTGATAATAATTTATTATGCTTGTTTTTTAAAGCCTTTACTAAACTGGGCGAAGTAGTATTAGCTACTGTAATTATGGTGGTAAAGGTACTGGTAGTAATTGTAGTTGATG